GAAAACTTTAATACTGAAAGAAATATCATTTTAACATCTGCTAAGAGGATATTGAAAGCACCTTGCTTGTTTTGTGCAACTTGACTACTTTTTGTGCAGCCTTAACTCTTACACAATTGGGCTTTTTAAACTTGAATTTTGACCTACCTTCCTGCTTAGGTTTGTTAGGATGTTGTGATTAAATATAAATTCTTATTAACCATACTTCTGAAGCTATCCAAATTAGTTGGGATGATTCCTTTTATGTTCACGTGTGGGTCTTCTGTGTATGAATTGGCTGAATGATGAGTGCGAAGCCATATGTTCTGAAATTATGTATCACAGGATAAATCAGCTTACTAGAAAGTGCTTTAATTCACTCAAAAACCTGCACTGCTCTTCTTTGTGCTCTTTCAAGTAGCTTTTTTGGTCTTTGTTGGGGATATGAAGGTAGTGTTGTGGTGTGTGCCCTTCATAATTTGCCATTTCTTTTTGTACCATGCGTTTGCCACCTTCCTTTACCTGAGAACCTTGCACGTTGCAGGCAATGCTCCGACTTACTGAGCCAGGCCCAGTACCACGTGGCTCGGGCACGCAAGCAGGATGAAGAGGAGAGGGAGCTGCGTGCAAAGCAGGAGCAAGAGAAGGAGCTGCTTCGCCAAAAACTGCTTAAAGAACAGGTTTTTATTCTGCTAAATTCTCTATGTTACATTTTTTTTAACTATACTTAATTTTTACAAAGCGTATACGTTAACGGTATGCACGCTTCTGTTGCTCTGGGTGGTACTTAATAGTGCTGTTTTTCTTAGTCATAGCAAGTGCTAGCAGAAAATATTATAGCTAAGAGGTGATCCTCACTCTTTTTTCCCCATAGCCTCAGAAATAGATTTTTTAGTTTTTATAATGAAGTAAAATACATGTGCCAGAAGTTTTTTTGCCATCAAATTTCTATACTGACAGAGGCTGGATGAGGAAGAACTTGGTGCAACAGTTCTTTTGGACTTTGGCCTTCTCTACCGTAGGCTTGTAGAAATTTATTTTTTTTTTTGCCCTGTGGACCTTCTTGTGACATAGGCTGTCAAAAAGCAATTTTCCAGTTTCTTGACAGCAAGTAATTTATCCCCTGTGATAATAATTGCCATGATGCTGCAAATACAGCAGTAATGGTTGGTTTTCTTGATGTTTCAGGAAGAGAAGCGCCTAAGAGAAAAAGAAGAACAGAAGAAACTTCTGGAACAAAGAGCTCAGTATGTGGAGAAAACCAAGAATATTCTGATGTTCACTGGTGAAGTAGAAGGATCAAAGGAGAAAAAACGTGGTGGCGGTGGAGGCAGGGTAGAACAGATTTCTTTTTTCTCTCTCTCTTGTTTTTTTTTCTTTTTTTTAAATTAAATGCCCTTCATATTCCCCTTTTGACATATGGTCTCTTGCAGGAGCAGAGGTTTTTAATTTCAAGTTCCTGGGCTCCACTGAGTGAAATTGCACAAGTTTAATACTAAAATGTAAAAATTGGAAGCTCATACTTGAAAGTTCTGAGCATGGCGGCATCACTTAAGTCTGTTCAATGTGGTTGTTAGAATAACAGATTATTTTATTATGTGCAAATTTGGGATCAGTTTCTAAATGATATCAATCTTGTGCCAGCTTTTCCATAATCTCTAGAAGGTCTGTGTTTTCATATCTTTCAAAACATGTTCAGATGAAGTGTCTATTATGAATTGTTTTCTGGTAGCTCTGTAACTGGAAGGCAAATAATAGGTTGTATTGTGTGTGTGTTTATTCCAGCGTTCCAAAAAAGGAGCAGGGGAATTTGATGAGTTCGTCAATGATGACAGTGATGAAGATCTACCCATATCTAGGAAGAAAAAGAAGAGGAAGGGCAGTGGCAGTGAACAAGATGGGGAAGAAGAGGAGGGTGAGAGAAAGAAGAAGAAGAGGAGGAGGTAGCTGATACTTTAATATTAGACTTCCCTGAGAAATAGTAGGGCTTTTAAGTATATTCTCGTGCAGCCTTTCCTAACAGTTTAAAAATGAACTGTTGGCAAGAGGTCACGTGGTTAATTTTAATTTACACATGCACATTTTAAAACTTAGCCACTCTGCAAAAGAAGTTTGAGTAGCACTTGATAAACTGGACATTTCTTGAGACTGATATTTTTGTTTGTTTTAAGGTTTTTTTGCAATGTTATGCTCTGTATCATATGAAATGTGTTTCTCTTTAAGGCCCCAGAAGGCAGATGAGGGGAGTGATGATGAAGACCATGAAAATGGCCCACGACCCAAAAAACGCCGTCCACCCAAAGCAGAGAAAAAGAAAGCTGTAAGTGAAACCCTGAACAGCTGCATCGCTTTCTAAATGGGTATTTGGAGTTCAGCATTTACCCTAGTCAAGAGAGATTTATTAATGTTGAAAATTCCAACAAAACTTCTTGAAGCCAACTGCATATGAGCTTATTTTTATCCTCCCTTATTGCTATTGCTGCTTCAAGGATGAAAAGGATATTTCCAAAGCCATCTAGAATTTAAGTGATAGTAAATGGAAAATTTTTTGAAAAGCATGTCTGGTTTTGTGAATGTGTTTGTGTTTGGGCCCTGTGCTTTAACCAGCCACATGAACAGTCTTTGTTTTCCCCCTGTACAGCCCAAACCAGAACGTCTGCCTCCTTCAATGAAAGGAAAGATCAAATCAAAAGCCATCATTTCATCAAGTGATGATTCTTCTGATGAGGATAAACTCAAGATTGCTGATGATGGGTAAGAACCTTAATTAACTTTGTATGAACTTAGTTTCGGTGCATGCCTTCAAGAGAAAATGCAGTGTTAATGAGATAACACAAAGGTGATGAGAACTCTTTCATTGTACTCACTTCCCATCACAGATTAATTCTGCTCACTCTTCTAGCACTAGCATTACTCAAATCCTGCTGTCTCATTTTCATCTGAAGGTAGGATAGCACCTTATAGCACCTCTTAATACCTTTTTTCCTCTGTTTTTCCCTGCAGACATGCTAGAAATAGCAACAGTGATTCAGAGGAGGGGGAGCAGCAGCACAGCAAGCGCATTGTTTCCGACAGTGATTCCGACAACAGGAACAAGTCTGGCAGCGAGGCCGGCAGCCCGAGGAGGGCCAGCGTCCGCGCCTCCGAGGAAGAGTCTGACAGTGACAGGTCTCCCAGGAAGAGGAGGCGGTCGGAGTCGGAGCAGTCGGACAACGAGTCCGTGCAGTCGGGGAGGAGTCGCGGCTCCGGGGGCTCCGAAAACGAATCTCGTCCGGCTTCTCGCAGCGCCGAGTCCGACAGAGAGTCTGAGAGAGCGTCTGACAACGAGGGTTCTGCCAGAGCATCTGGTAACGAGTCTGAACCAGAGGGATCCAATGAGGAGGGCTCTGAAGGTGGTTCGGATGACAGCGATTAGATCTGAATTACAGACCATCTTTTAAAGATTTTCATGTAAATATGTTTCAGTTATAGGGAAAATGCAATTTTTATATTTGAAAACTGATTTAAAAAGCCCTTAATGTCTTAGTGAGGTGTTGTGAGACCTTCTTGTGATTCTCTCTATTGGTTACTAATGGATGTTTCTCTAAGTTGGCTTCTGGTGTATTCTTCATTTGAAACTGCTGTAGATGCACAGAGTCCCTGTCCTGTAGTCAGCACGCCAAAGACAGAATGCATTTAAAAACTATGGAACATAAAATCTCTTTAGGTGGCTCAGTGTGGCTAAAACCGTGTTCTCTACCTATACATGCATAGACGGATCTTAAAATCCTACAAGATGGGACAAAGAAGTGGATATTTATCTTTTTCCTCACTCTGAGTAAAGGTCAGTAGGGAGGTTTTTCTTACTTTCTATGAAGAATAAATGTGCCATGGTGTGACTCTTTATGTTTCCAAGAGGTTTTGTTCTTTTGCTTCTGTTTTTGTGTTAAATCAGCTGAAAAGATGCAGATCTTAAATTTTACAAACTAGCGATGCAGATGTGGGTGAAATATTTAAATTGACAGGTAAAAACATTTGAGAGAACTCTGTATTGCTTGAGAAGGGTAAAGCTGCCAATGTCACAATAAACTGTTCCTGCTTATTTGCTTGGAGTGATTTATTTTGCCCCTCAAAAGGTATAAGCAGAAAATGTGAAAATGTTAAATTTGACAAAGGAGTCTGCTTTGAGGGAGCAGTCTTAACTATATTTTAGCTTAAATATGTGGCTTTTGGAATTAAGTCCTGTCATATAATGTGTTCAGGAATAACAGTGAAAAATTGCTGTGTTGTAGACTAAAGTAAATCTGATTTCTCTCTGCAGTTCTGTATTTTGTACGAGTCCAAAGAAATCTTTCTTTTTTTCATTGGTCACGCACTCCTATGTTAAGTGTTTGCCAAGAGAAGATTATGTAGACCTGGATAGTGTATCACTACCAGTTTTAAGAGACTGCATAGCCTGAAGTATATTGCTTTGTTTTTAGGAGTTCTGGATTGTCACTACTGATAGTTCACTTGAAGCACTGCCTGAAAGTGAAGTTTCCCATGCTGCTATTTGTGGTGTGCTGTGAGCATGAGCTGTTCTCGTTGTGTATGGGGTTTTCATGTGTTTATGGGCTGTTGGTAACCACAGCAGAGACACAGAACAGTTGGGTGTCTCTCTTTGTGGCTCAGCTTGGTATCAAGTTTCTATCTGTGGCCTTACCTAAAACTTACATGTTTGGTAACATTCAGAATAGAAGAACAACAGTCATGTTTGTTGGATCAGAGCAAAACTGAACCTTAACTCAGTCTGCTTGTCACACAGTCGCTTAGGGGGAAGATTTGTGACAGCCAAGGCTGGAAGCTAGATAGCTTTGAAGACATGGACTCGAGGAAGATGTTGGGCTCTTGTAGGAAACGATTCTCTTGTCAAGAGAATCATGACCCAGAGCCATAAGGAAGCAGTGGATGGATGAGGTGTTACACTTGACGTGACGCTGCTTCATTTACGAAGCTCTGAGGAAGTGTGAGGAAATTAGAGCAACTGAGGAAGACTAATACATGCCAGCTGATGCCAGGTATGAGAGGAGCCAGCTTTTAACCAAAAATAGGAAGGGAAAAACGTAGAGTGCTTACTGTGGGATGTTAGAAACTTTTTTCCACCTCAAATACATCTCCACTAGCACAGTCGTCTTCTTCTGATGAAAGTTCTGAAGGTCTTGTTTGGTGCTGACTGTACAAAAATATGTTTTCTGTAGGAAAATTTAGCTCTAGATGAAGTGCTGAGTGGGTGCTCAGATCTAACATCCGGTTGGAGAGAAATACTTTCAGTAAGTGTAAAATAATAGGGGTTTTCATACATCTCTTATCTGAGAGGTAAGTGCATTTTTTGCCCTTTCCACAGAAAGGGCATGTGTAAGAAGAGGTTATGACTTAATATGTCTTGACCTGTGTGATGTACAAGAGGCCAATCAACAGGGACAGAAAGGGGACAGGGGTTGCTTTTGCTTTGCTACTTCTCTGCTTTTACAGAGCAAAAGAGGAGGAAAAAAAACCCACCAAAAAACAGAAATCAGTTTTTCTTGTTTCATTCTTTTGATGAGGACGGTCAATGGGAGGATTAAGGTTATATAAAAAGTCATGTGTTGCTGTAATTGGACTGAAAGCTGTGTTTCAGCTTAATTCATATTTTATAATGCTTGTTTTTTCAAAGTGCAGTGGTGGAATAACGTTGCTGTAATTCTCTCTTGGCAGCATTCCTTGCCTTCTGAAGTAGGTGGTTGGCTTGCAGCTATTAAATTCCTTTATTTATAGCAGTAATCTATTCCAGGATAAAATACAGGGGGTTAGAAGTGTAACACTGCCTTGCTAGAGGAGTGGTTTATTCCTAGTTTCTGTTTTGCATCCCCAGTTGCATGACTGTAGGAAGTGTTTTCTGTTGAGCTCTGTTGCAGCTTAGCATTTTGCTCTCCTCACATGTGAGCAGCATGTTCATTCCTGAAATTTATAGATTTGGCCTTTCACAAAACACTTCAAATATAACTTAGTAAAGTAATTGAAGTTATGGGGTTGGGTGTGATTTGGAGGGGAGGGTTCGTTATGGTGGTTTTTTTGCTTTTGGGGTTTTTTTAATCCACCTATTCAAGTTTTTCTCTTTCAGAAACTTTTCCAGGTCAGTACTTCATGGGAAGGAGTAGTTGTCACTGCTGAATAACAAAGCATCTGTGTGTAGTGTTGATCATTCTCTTTGTAAATGTCCACTTCTGCTAATTTAACTCTGAAAAACACAGTAATCTATCCACACAGAAACAAGGTGCAGGAATATATTGGAATGTGCTGCCAGGGAATGCTTTGGACAAGGCAAGACCTATGGTAGGAGCATGACAGCTAAAATTGTATCAGTCCTTTCTATAAGGAAGTGTCACTTTCTGGGAATAACTTGCTTTCCGTGTTAAATATTTCACTACTTAGAGCAATGTTTTCCTTCTGCACAGATTTAAACTTACATTGGGGGTTAATTAATACTATTGACGTCTTCTGTTAAAACTTGCAAGCTTTCTGGAGCAAGTTTCTTCCCTACTTTGTTTTTTATTTGCTCTTACAGTGTAGTGCTCTCTGATGACCCACTTGTTAAATAGTGGTAGCTCCCTTACAGTAAATGAATCTTGACTTCACAAGTTACCTGGAAAAATTCCTACAGCTGGAGCTGAAGTCAGCAAGGACAAAGTCAGTAGTAATAGAGGTAAAAAAGCAAGTTGACGAAATGGATGTGAAAAAGGGTATGTAACCAAATACTCATTATTGTCATAGCTAATAGTACTTACCACTCATAATAGTATTTTGTTATTTAGCTAAATATTATAATTGCTCTGCAGAGGAGGATTTGAACTGGAGATGTGATCTAAGAGAATAACAAATATGAGAATACTTAGGAGAGAAATTCAGAGTAAGTACAGTGAAAATGTGTAGTATTTCTGTACTGTCTCTGAATTTTGGTCTGCATCTGCTCAAACTTACTATGGCTTATACTAGAAATACTTGAAACTTCAGGGTATTTTAGTCTTGGCAGCGCCTATAGAAGGTACAGGTGTGGAGTCATGCAGCTTGTAATGTCATTTTTACCTTTAGTTCATAACTGCTAAAAATGCCTCTGGTGGTCTAGTGGTTAGAGTGCCTGACTCTCACCTCTGTGACCGGGGTTCGATTCCCAGCCCCCTGGGCAGGTGGAGCTCATCAGCCTTGGTAGGCAATCCACCTAAGAGAAGGTCACTCTAAACAAACCTACATCCTGGGGACCTCACTGCCACTGTCCAAGCTTTGCTCGGCCCCGGCAGATGAACCTCAGGACTAAAGGGTGGGCTCAGTTCAGCGCACGCTGTGTCTCACCTAAAAAAAAAAAAAAAATCCACTGCGCAGGCTGGAAGGGTTAATGACCTTTCCCAAAAATCTTCGCTCGCGAAGACTGGCCATTATATCATAACTGCTGGAGAAATTAGGAATGCTCATTGTAGCTATGTTGTTCTTTGAATTAAGCTTATTTTATTCCAGGGATAGACCAATGCCTCTGGGTTGTTCTCTACCCCTTTTTAATTCGTCCTTTGGCCTTAGGCAAAAACTTTCCCTTTCTCTGCAGCCTCCAGATCTTGGGGCTTGCTGAGTGTTTGGGCTGCAAAGTGTCACTGGCACCCTTGATTGAGTTTACTGTTCTCTTCCAGCTCCATTTGAAATGATAAAAGCTAAAGAGTCCCTATGGCTCCTTCTAGATATGTGTCATCCTTATCTTACACGTGTCCCTGTATCTGCCTGTTAGGAGATGCCCCCAACACTGTTCTGGTGTTGCCTGAACTCCATAAGTGCTCTTTGGCTCAGTAGTATACAAGGATTTCACACCTTCCCACCCATGGTGATTAAAATACAAATACCAAGCTTTAGCTGAAGGAACAGGTTTTTGTTTGGCACCTGAGAGTGAGTATCACATGACAGTGACTTCACAGGTGTTTTCTGTTGTCTTAGAAGGGTCCAGGCAATGCTCTGGCTCTTAAAACATTTTTGAGCCCTTCAGAGTTCTTAGCAGATAAATCTTGCCTCTCTTTTAAGGCTGTGCTAATCCCATATGCTAATAGCAACAGCTAAAGCATTCTTGGGCACATGGAGGAATATCGTGGGTCCACTCTGGTTTTTAGGGCCTCCTGTCAAAGGTGACTTGGTTACACAGTGTATCTTCAGTGACAGATACAGTCTAGAATGTCTGTTTTAGACTTTTTTGCTAATGCAGAAGTGAGCTTCTAATTTAGGACATAGAGGTAGTAGTAGAGAGCTTAGTCTTTGCTGCCTGCTTGTTCTGCACCACTAGGACAGAGGAGTGGTACAGAAGTAGTTTAAGAAGAAGCTCATGCAATGCTATATTCCCTCTGTCTGGTTCCACAAATCTATTCAGAGGAAACTCTTCTTGGAGTCTTCTCACCTTTGCACCTGAAGGTTCTGGCTATACAGGCACTGCTGAACCAACAGACTCCTCTAAGCAGGGCTAATACTAATAAATACTAATAAATACCAGTCTTGCCTTGCACTGATGACAGTTTACTACCATTTTTGAAGATGCCTCAGAGAATATGAAACGTCCCTTCACCCATCTCCAATCTTTAAAGACAGATAATTGTTTTGTTCCAGCTTTCAATAGAGTTTGAACTGCTCTAAACAGGCTCTTCTGTCTATTTGTTATGCTGTGCTAAATTATTCTAGTACATGTCTCATTCTCATGGGAATCTGTCTAAGCAAAAGGTAACATTCTTTTTTCTTGTGGGAAGCTGTCCCAGACCAGCTGGAGAGGAAGAATTATTGTCAGCAGCTATTTTCTTGTACTAAAAAGGAAAGAGGGAATTATGTCTCATTTGGGTTTGCAGGAACGAGGCATGTTCATGCACAAATTCAAGTTGGTGACTTTAGTCAAAGTGATCTTGGCTTTCCAGGTCCATATGTTTTTAACCTCCAGCATATGTACTTCTGAACTGCAGCAGGGACATCCTTGTTAAGGATACTCGTGCTTAATGGTGGGTATGGGCTGCTCCTGGGGCATATTTGGCTGCTTTTGGTGATGTCCTAACACCAGTACTTGTTCACTCTCCTGAGGAGCTACAAGTTGGAATTTTTCTTTCAATGCCAGAGCTTCTACTTTTGGTCAGATTTTCAGATTATTATCAGCTGAATTTCTGTTAAATGCTCCTTGTAGATGAAGACTGTGCTGGTTAGACAGTGACAGGCATTGCCCTGGATGGATACCTGGGTGCACTGGGCTTTCTGCCTGGTGTTCACATAGACAAGTTCCTCTCATCTTCATGCAGCTCATCCAGCCAGGGTCAACCCACCACAGTCAGGAGGACTGAATTTCACGTGTCATGTTCTCATTGACACTGATCTGCCAAGGAGCAATCATTTTTCCCCTTTCACAGTTTGTGTGACTCAAAGAGAACTGAAGCTGTTTTGTGCCCGGGTGATTTCTTACTGAGTTGTACAGGACTTTTGTCTGATCTACGAGGTCCTTGGAGCATAAGTTGATTATAAAATTGCAAATGTTGTTCCTTGATTAGTAATAGAACCACAGTCTCTTTCTCCACCTTCATAATACAAAGTAGTGAAAATGATCTGATTTTGGTTTTGAATGGTTTAATTTAAAAAGAGAAGGTTATAAACACATAACTTTACTATTAGAAAGGTTGAAGGGCCTGGCCAAGAGTATGACTTGCAAACAAATTAGGGCCAGAATTGTCTTACAGAATTAAACCTTTACTGCTGAAAGCTGATCTTTGTTGTTCCCCATGTTGAGGGGCTGGGTTTTGGCCAGGCAGGCCTTGATTCAATTCCTGTGTCAAGTAAACTGCTATAAAGCTGCTTTGCTTTTACTGAGTATTTTCTGTGGGCAATTAATCCATATCTCCAGGAGAGCTTCAGCAGAGGCTGTGGTTGTAGTTGCACAATCCCTGAGGTTGCCAAATAATCACATGCATTTGTTTTGTTTGGGAAAACTTCCCTGTGATGATTTGTTTAAAAAAAACAAAACCAAAACAACCACAGAGCAATCATCGGTGGTGGGAGCGAGGGTGAGTGTGGGATGCAGAACCAAAAACCCACAAAAAATCCTCTCAAAATCCAGAAATCCGGATAAGTGACCAACTCGTAAATCACTGGGAGACTGAGCTAATGTAATGTGTGATAATTCTGTGAGAGTAGTGAGCTTTTCTAGTGTATAGGGGAAAGGGAAGAGACTTCCCTGTGCCTGAAGCACAGCTGGTGCCTGAGGGAACTCAGACCAGTAAGGTTCCAGTTCCTCTGCTATTGGCACCGGCAGGGCTCCGAATCCCTTCGGAGGTGGCTGGTGCAACCTAAGTAACATTCCCTGACAGCAGGGACAGGACAAACGTTCCAGGTCAGGTGTTTCTTTCAGAATTTCTGGAAGGAGCTGCCCAGCTAAGCAGAACCTGTGCTCAGTGTTTGAGTTGTGCCTGAGGCTGGGTTATAGAACATCTCCTCCGTTGGATGTCCTGCAGCTGAGGCCAAAGCCGTGCACTTCCCAGCAGGGAGCAGATCTGTGCTGCACCCTTAGCAGAGGTGGAGAAATCCTGGGCAGAAGCTCATGACCAGGAGTAGCATTTTCAAGAGAAAAAGGAGGCAGCCCATAACTGAGACAGTTTAAAAGAAGAAAACCTAGAGGTGAACAGAGAGGTGGGGACTTCACACCAAGAATGCTCTGCCTTCAAGCACCTGGTAGGTCCTGACATAGATTCCATTCTGGAGGTTTTCTGGAAATGTTTCCCTTGACAAACCTGCAGGCTCACAGATCTCACAATGAGTGAACCAGAACTGCATTAAATGCAGTCCAATGATTGTATCTCCCTAGACTTTTATGGTCTTATCCTAATATTTAGTATCCTTCCCTCTGCCTTCCAGTTTGGTTTAGTTTAATGCCCAATTGTAATCATCTTTGTTGTCAACTCCCTGGTCAACTGTCTTATGGTGCTGTTAATTGCTACAAATGCAGACATTGCTTCTATTAATAGTTCAGAGGATGCATTTTTATGATCTCTTTTTAGAAATTAGTAAATCTGACATGACTAAAATGAGCTAGTGTTACAACTTTGGGGTACAGGAGAAAAGGTTCAACAGGGCTGGTTATTCCATAGCCAGTACATTTCTTTTTCTGAAAGCAGGAACCCTTCTGGTTTGCATCTCTCTGCTGGAAGTGGCAATCAGCATGTGGCATATACTCCCTTCTGTATGCTCTAAGTAGCTCATGGGCTGCACGGAATAATGAAGAAAGTTATCTTTGAAAACAGCCACGCAGAGCATGAAAAGAATCAGGGGAGGACAAATCTAAATTTAAAGGCAAGTAAGTGTCTTAATTAAAAGGTATCAGTATATCGGTAATTCTAGTGAATTTTGTCAGGTTACAAGACTTCTTTATTTACTGTCTGCTTCATAGAAGTTACATTTGATTAAAACAGTTGTACCTGAGAAGAAGAGCATCAAGCTTCTGTATCCAGTATTGCCACTTTGTTTGATCCCAATTCTTGTTTTACCTGGTGCTTTCACTAAACCTCACCTGCAAGAATGAGAAGAACTAACACTGTTCAGTGTTTTGGGGTTTTTTATTTTGTTGTTCTTGGTTGGGGTTTTCTGTTGGGTTGTTTGCAGCCCTTGTGGCTGCAGTGAAAAGTCTGGATGTCTGAAGGACAGTCCCCCAGGGATTCAAAACTGGAAAAGCAAGTCAAAACAAACCAGAATTTTACTATGTGTCAAGATTTCTAATTCAGACCTTCTGGGTTTAGGTTTCGCTGGACTCATCTCACATCTTCGAATGGTTAGGATGGAAAATGAGGAGGGAGATTGCACATCTACAAGGTGATGAGTGGAGAAGCAAGTGTGCATTTCTTTTCCTTTCTGGTGGTTCCAGATTTCACAATAGTTGTCTCCCCTGGGCTCACAGTACAGGCAGCAGCAGCCAAAGAGGCTGCAGGGGAGGTGAGGGGCTGAAACCTGGGGCTGAAAGGCAGAAACCCTTGGATAGAGCAAAGGAGAGAAGGGGAAGGAATGTGGGTTATAGATGTGGAAACACAATGTTTTGGAAAAACTCCTCAAGTCTCCAGAAGTAGAAAAATCAGGAAGGAAAAACAAAAAGACAAAATAAATCTGTATCTAATGATTACCAGTTTGATAAAATCAGCATTTGAAAGGCGATATTTAAAAATATTAATTTTAGAGACCTTGGGAGACGTTTTGCTCAAGATTTTCATTATGTGTATTGCTGTCTTTTTTTCCTCCCATACAGATGTATTTCCTGCATCAGATCTTAAAGGTCACATATCTAAATTTAAAATGGTAATGAAATGGGTTACCGTAGGTGCTGTATAGAGAACATTCCCATGTTGGTTTTCAAATTTCATTTCCAAAGATGAATCAATCTAATACTGTCAATCAGGGAAAAAAAAAAAAAAGAGAAATTTAGGGTTGGATCAATCACATTCCTAAATTTTCCTCTACCAACACAAGCAAGACAAGATTCATAGACTAAAAGTTGAAATGAATTCATTTAAACAGGAGATAAAGTGTAAATTTTTAATGATTAAATAGAAAATCGGTGGGGAGTGCAAGGGATTTGAACTTCTAGCAATTCCAGATCTCTAGACATTGGCATTTCTAGAACACTGCTGGGAGCAGGAGGTTTAGCTTGTTCCCCCAATGCAGTTTGGGACTGGGTTTCAATGTCCTATCAAAACACAACCTATCTATTTAAAACTTAGCCTTGATGAACCGAGAGGCACCTGTTAATGCTACTGCTTTTCTGGGACAGTTGTGCTGTGCCTTAAGCAGGTGTCACAACTTGGATGTGCCCAGTCCTGGCAGCACAAGGACAGCACAGTGTGTGTGCAGTACAATTATGTGTTAATACAGAATTATGGCACATTTTATTTCAGTGTTATACGGCCAGGTGATTTAGGTGAATTTTAGTTATCTTCAGACATCTAAAAATTAGCAGTCTAGACACCTCGTACAGGCCCATGGACTGGCACCCCCAGAGGGCAAATCATCCCCTCCCAAGGTAATAATTTAAGGTAGGTAGGATGAGTCACTGTGAGGAACCTGTTTCTCTCTGTTGCCTGACGAGTGTACAGCTGTCTAGACACTGAGCATTTGGATAGTTAAGTGAGGAATCCCACACAGCACAACAGTAGCTCAGATGTTTTCTTTGTTATTCATTTGAATTAGTTTCCAATTTAGATGCAGTTTTGCCCTCTGTCTCCTCCCAATAACAATCCAGTAGGATCAAGTTTACATGAACCTTGATCACACTGAGGAACTGAAAGGGAGATTTCCACAAACAGGCATGGCATCCATCTACCAGTTCCCTTCTTATTTTTGCTTTTGTGAGAGTTTTTTGTTACATTTCGAGGTTTTTTTTCCACACTGTATTTTAGGTTTGCTACTTCAGCGAATACCAACAGCAAATTTCCTTCACAGGAAATTTCCTTCCTACATTTAAGGACTACTTCTTGTGGATCTGTGAAGTACTGAGCAAAGTGTCTGGGAAATCAAGGTGGAGCTCTCAGAGGCTCTGGGGTGAGTGCACAGTGTTTATCTTCATCGGTGCAGTGCTGGTGGCACAGAGGTCTCAGCCTGGCACGTGCAAGCCTGAGCTGTTCCAGTGCCTGCACTGGGTTCTGTGGGAAGCCCAGTAAGTGCTTCCAGGGTCTGATTCCTCAGCTGCTGGTTATGTGCTTTACTGCACAGGTAACAGCTGTATTACCAGGATTCAACTCAATCATTTAGTGTCTTGAATGTTCCTTATTTAAAGATGAAATCCAAAGCTCACAGGATGTCAGAAATAACAGTGTTACCTAGATTTACGTGTGATCCAAGGAGCAGCCTCTTTCTAAAGTAAGAGAGAAAGGAAGAGTTTGAATCAATAACATTTCCCCTTACAAACCAGATTAAGTGTGTAGAGTCTTCAAGGAGAAGCAAAATAGCAAATTATTCCCATGTTGGCCCACTTCTGGACTGAGTTCTCCTTCAGTCCTTTATGAAGGTTACTACGGAATTGGCACTGGCAATTCCATAAGGATAGCTGATAGAATAGCCTATTCTGTACTTATATAACTGATGTATTTTATCAGAGACATTCCAGCCCCTGAATTGCTGCAATCACTTCCAGTGGATTCCAGTGGGCCTCTGCAGGAATGTGCCAACCTGCAGGGAAAGGGAGGGGGTTTTGGGGTGTTACTGCATTATGGTCCTTACTCCCACTGTATAGCTACTGAGATAATTATCTCGAGGAATTTATGAATGGCCTTTCATCATAGCTAAATACTTCACGGTCTTGAAAATTAAATTGCATCAATTCCATAGATGGAAAACTATGGGAAATTGGAGGTCACCATGGAAACGTTCGCTGGAGCAGGAAATGAAACTGCTGTGTTGATCAAGTGAGTAATCATTTATCTACAGCCCAAAAAGTGCAGTGCACCTACCCTGCCCCTCACGGCTTTGTCTCCTCCAGCAGCCTGGCCAGGGCTCTCCCTGCTTCAGAAGTGTTCTTTGGAACTGAGAGAGCCCTGCACTTCCCAGCTTGGCTCTCGGGGCTGTTTAAGGTTCAGATGTCAGCTGTACCCCAGGATTGTTCCTGGTTTGTTGTCAATACTGGGAAGGGGGATTAGTATCGATGCTTCTCCTGTTACCCAGAAACTGAAATATTAACTCAGGAAACCACCTAAGCTTAAAATAATATAGAAAAGCCCAAGGCCTTAAGTCCTTCCCATGCTTTATGCCTCTGTGAAAGAATGCAGAGCTGGCCTAAGCACATGCCTGATGCCTTGTTTGTGACTCTGCTGTGGAGGCAACTGCTTTCCAAAGGAGCAGCTGGGATTGGGTTCTCCAGCCTTAGATTTGGGTGATGTCACCTATCCTGAATAACAGTGGCAGTGCAGCACCACAGGAATCTGCACAGTTCATTGCTCCAGAAGGCAAATTCCCAATACAAAAGTGTGTTAGGCTTTGGGTTTGTAACTTGACTATTATATGGGAGAAATGTTAGGGGACCAATTCCAATGAATGTATTTTCAGTAGATACCACAGGCCCCTGAGCTGAGGCAGATGACAGCCCTGGCTCAGAGCAGAAATCAAGCTTCTAGCACACTGAACTCTAAGATTGTGTAATTTAGCATTGTTGTGAACATTTAATTCAAATCTGCAAGGTTCCTCTCCAGGAAAGGCCAGTCACCCAGCATTCTACACTCCAAAGTGATTAAATCTTCAAATGCCTATGAATATGCAATCATTTCTTACAGGGTTTAACAAAATCACCACAGAAATGCAGACCAAGCCTTCACCTGTATTGCAGCTTTAACTCCACGTTCTTGCTAATTTACCCTTCGCTTCTCCAATTTTGCTTTGTCCTTAAAAAACATCCATTTTCTAACAGAACAAACTCTATAAACTTCATCCTCCACTCACTTTATCAAACCAGCTAAAGATCCCTTTTTGTTTCACAAACTGAAGTGTTTTGCATAGCTGCTTAGATAACAAAATTGTGTGAATACTTCACACATCAGATCCTTCAGACGCTTCCACTGTGAACATAAACAAAAACTAAATGTAAGACTGACGTTGTTCTAAACTGCAAAATATTTGAAGATAAAAATCCCACTCAGATGGCTGCTTTCCTCACTCTGGCCATGTATTTATGCCAAGTGTAACTGTTGCCATGGCTGCCTCGTCAACTCATTAAAAATAACAGTTCCCTGGTCTCCAACTCCCCTCCGTTAAAGGAAAGGGATGTGGGCGCTCTCTAAATTGAATCCAGACGAGCCTGTGTCCCTTTGCATCACCACTTAAAAGCCACATTATTCAAGGAACTCCTACCTCAGGAGTCTTACTCAGTCCCTGACTCCCAGAGGTAAAGGCCTGATTCTGTTTTAGAGATTTCTTGGTCACTTAGAAGAGAAGCTTATTCTGGAATGCCTAGATAGGAGAGGATCCAGGGAGATACTGGAAGTGGTCTGTATCTTACTAAGTAACAAATGCAGCTATTTCTGAAGGATTGGCAAACTTTCTTGGATATCTTGTCCTGGAAGCAGATGTAGAACCACCGTGCAGAACCTTTAAGGCCGTATTGATCGAGCCTCCTTTAGACTACAGTTAAACCCTGATGTCTGCAGCTCTAGCTCTGCTAGACCTTTCCTTTCCTGTTGCAGCTCAGAGCTCAGCTGCAGATACCATTTCTGGTTTGCTTTTGAAGATGCAACATCTGAGTAGCTGTTCCAGGCTATAGATATGCCCCTCAGGAGATCTCGCCCCCCTGAACTGAGCCTGGATCTGCTGTGAACCTCTGCTCTCTGGCCAACACCATTCCAGATAAAAAGCAGCACCGACAAAGCTACAAGGACCTGGCAATTTATTTGAGGGCAGGGAAAAAGCTTCACCCAAGGGCACTTGATGACTGAGTACACAGCCTTTGCATGACATCTTGACCCCTTCTGCCACTGGTCTCACAGAACTCCAATTGCCATTTCCCCTATTCATTCAAATCAAATTGTAGGTAGGAGACGCAGCATTTGAAGTAAACACAGCAGCAGCCAGTCAGTAACAGGAGGTATCTCAGGTACCTATGAGCATAAGCTCCCCCCGCTTCACTGCACTGCACCAGCTCTCTGGGAACTCATTTTTGAGAATAAGCATGAATTGGCAATAAACTCACTTTTTTAATCAGTCACTGCAGCTGCGAGCCTGGATTGCAACATACGCTGTGATAATTCCTGTTTCAGATGTGTTCTAAAAATTTACATCAACTATTCGAGACTCTGCCGAAATGATCAAATTGTTTGGATTCATTCACTGCTCTGGGGAAAACATCCCTCCAAATCTAAATAGCATTCAGATGGAAGCTTCCATCTGCTAAAAAGCAGGTCAGCTCAGCCACACTCAAAGATTTTGTTCCATACCCAACCCCCCCACCCATCCCCAAATCCCATAAGACTCTTTCCTGAAATTTCTCCCCCAAAAATGCTTGTGCAGAGTTATGAAGATGTTTTGACTTTTAAGAACTGATCAGGTGATTCAGAACACCTCTCCCAAGAGGAGAAGCTGAAGAGTTGGGTTTGTTCAGCCTGCAGAAGGTTCCTCTGCAAGAGAGCTGAAGAGGGACTTCTGACAGGAGAAGGGGGAATGGCTTCAAACTGAGAGAGCAGGGTCAGGTTAGAAAAAAAAGTTCTTCACTGTGAAGGTGGTACAACAGTGGAACAGGTTGCCCAGACAACTTGTGGCTGCCCCATTTCTGAAGTGTTTAAGGCCAGGCTGGATGGAGATTTGAGCAACCTGGTGTACTAGGAGCTGTCCCTGCCCATGGCACCTTTTTAAGGTCAAGCCATTCCATGATTCTATGATCAGAACACATTCCTGAAACACGCAGATTTAATACCTAAGCACCCCTGCAGCTTGGAAAGGAGATGGTCTCCTACTGGTATAAAGAGGGACAAGGCAGCAGCTGTGACACTCACTAGGAGCAGGTGAGAATTCACCATGACGGGTCATTTTCAATAACCAACCCACAACCGCTGGTTCAGTAAAGGCTCCTGAGCGGGAACTGCAACCTAGACCAGGATTTCAAAGATAAATGGAACTGCTGTGAAATGTGTTTAATAGCAGTTTCTTCCACTCTTCTGCCAATGTAGTTATGCCTAAACATTTTAAAAAACTACTATCAATAAAAGCCATCATTATTGATCAATTATATTGGTTTAATTTTGCTATGACTTTGCTATTTAAAAGTGAATAGGCTATTTACATGAAAGAACACATTAGTGAGACCAACCCACCACCCATCCCCTGCTCCAGATCACTTAGCCAGCAGCACTGCACTTGAGCACTAAAAACTCCTCAAGCAGTTGGAGATCTCCTTATCTAGGGAAATACCACTTGGATATACACACTGCAATAAGCACCATTTTTATACCAGTTTCAAGAACCCAGATCTGATCACATTAACTAAATGTAAACTTTGCAAGTGTCTCATGCTGGCAAGTAAATAATCCCAGAGTTTAGTGGCATTTTACTGTTTATGTTCTATTCTGTGTGTTTAGTTGTTGTCCTATCCCACAGGAGTTTTCTCCAACAGAATTCCCAACACAGTGACTAGTTATAAACAAGCCAAGCAGCAAAGCCTCCACGCACAAGTACGTAAGACTGCAGTAATTCCATTTTGGGCTGGGCAAGAATACAAGGCTTAGTTACACTACTCCAACAGCCTACAGCTGCCAGCTTCACCTTCTCCAAAATCTGGCAGAAAAGCTTAGGTACAGGTTCTGGATCTACTCTGAAGCTTTGACTAGGAATTGTTTTACTTGCACATCCTTCTACTACTGCCTTTGTTTTCCACTTCTAGTCAATTTAGTTGGAAACTACTGGTTAGGACTGTTCTTTCACGACCTGTGGTTCCTCAGATTTCAACTCTGCAGCACATGGGCATGCAGTGCAGTTTATCTAGTAACCTACACCTGAAGTACACAAAACTTGTATTAGAGCAACCAACACCACTAACCAGTGAGCTGTACCAGTGAAAAGTTTAACAATAAACTAACAAACTTGGAGGAACACAACCCTACTGCTGAAACAATGTGTAATTTCACTGCATCTTACTACAGAGTAAAACTGCAATTCTAAAACAGAATTACTTTGAATTTATTCCTAATAGATGAACCTTGTCACTGTACTTATGTACCCCCATTCTGTATTTAACTGCAGAACCTTGGTGAGTATAGCAGACATACACCTGAGACCAACCTTTATCTCCCTGAAACCACATATGAAGGGAGGAGCAAACTGCAATGGCAGTAGTTCCAGCATTAACATTACTCTACAGATTGGAAATACTGTCATAAATTTCAGATCACTCTGTCATGCCTGGGAGGAGCACCATAGCATTCAGTACTTTTTTTGAAGCCCCAGGCTGTCAGTGATTCCCACTGTCACACAGGAGTTGCACCTAAAGCCAGCTCTGAACCTTGAACCATTAAAGTGCCGTTGGGGCTCTCCTGTCTCCACTGAGCCAGACTTCACAGAAATATCCTGCTCTCCTGTTCACTGCTACATACACATTCCTGAAAGTGCAGTGTCATGGAATTTTTGGTAGCAATTCCTGTCAGATACACTTGGCTTATGGAAGCAAGCACACTACCTTGATTTACTGAGCTGGTACAGCAAGTTACTGAGGCACCCGAAGAACTCCCTGACAGACCAGGGCTTACAGTGTGCAGGAGGCCAGGGCTTGGGACTGTACTTGGGAAGCCCTTCACAGCAAACCAGGACCTGCTCTCCAAGGCACAACTCTCCCAGTCACAGAAAAGCTCCACTTTTGTCTCCAGTGGTGAAGAAGGGTTTATAGACTAAAGCACTTCCATCACTGGCAAACCCAGGAGACAGTACTGTTTTGCCATTACAAATACATCACCTTGCAACAGGTGAAGTCTTGAGTAGCAGCGAGGACAAAAAAAAATTCACTAGGGACAAAGTTCTAAGAAGTAAGGTATTTTGAGTATTTAATAGATGACATTTCAAGCCTGTACAATGCAACATCATTGAACTCCTTTGTAGGGATTTTTTGCCAATTTGATTTGAGAAACAGGCAGCTAAACAGACAATGCCACTCGATTTGAAAACATGCATGTGGCCTGGGAAGCTCAAAGCATTACCAAGGTAAAAAGCACATACTCACTGATAAAGCATACACTGGACCACAAGGCAAACCCCTACCACTTATTCGGCAGAATTACATCATTCTTCTCCTGTCATAACACATCTGTAGTGTTTAATCTTGTCTGTGACCTTATTTAGAATTCATCTGCATGTTCAGACAATGAGTGTAAAAATAATTTCAAGATGCTCCCATTTAAAGCAACTCCCACTGATATTTCCTTTCTTAAGTGAACTAATCATCAGTCCAAAGCTTTTCTACTGGGAGACATTCAGAAACAAGTCAAGTATCACAATGTTTATTGATAGATACAAGTATATAAAATCAGGGCATGAACATGTCTTGATAAATTAAGTAGACTTAATTTCAGTACTATAAGAGGGACCAATTCAAATTTCTCACCATGTCATGTTTCACACCCACAAAAACCTCTTCCAAAGGGCATTAAACCATCTCTTCAGCCAATCAGTTTTTGTGCAAGTAAACTGTTCCTTTTAAAAAAAAGACTTGTGCACTTGCCCAGGCTCAAGGATATTAAAACCTAGCACATAAAGCCCATTACTAGAGGTAGAAATACAGGCAATATACTATTACGGCAACAACCAACCATCGATTACAGTTAAGGATTCTCTGTAACAACCAAATGGATAATCAAATATTGCAACAACTCAAGTATTACACTGAGCAAAGTGCATTTCTACAGTATTCAGTGTTGCTATTCAGTTTCTAACTTAAAAACAGCCTATGATAACTGGCAGCAAAGAAGACCCCTTGCAACAGACTGCTTCTGCTCGAGAACTTATGATGTAATTATTGCATGCTGCTAATACACTGTTATCTAAACATTAAAGATACTCTAAAATATTTTTATTGTAGACTATTAAGACATACTACAAAAACCTTTTGCAGAGGATATCCTACTGACATACTTCTGCTTTAAATATTGTGAAACATTACAGCGGAATGAATTTTCGCAGTGGTTAGGTCAAATGCAGTTACATCATAGCAACAGTATGTTTGCACAATTTAAGGCTTTGGCTGGTTCTTTAGTCAGCTTCTTCTTCAGATTCTTCTTCTTCAGCAGTTTCCAGCCAGGTTAACCACTGGTTTACCTGCAGTTACACAAAACTGGTTTAAGGGAGCAGGAATTATTTCCCCACTAGGTACTTCTGCAGAACACTGCTTCCCCCCCCAACTGGTTTTTAAAATCTTTCAGCCACACTTGCACTACTCATAGGCCTCTAGTAAATCAAAAAGGTTTTGTTCATCTCGCTTAACTCCTCCCTAGCGAAATACTCCATCAAGCTGCTCAACATTTTAGACACTCTGGAAGTGTTCTCAAGCACTCCAGTGCAGCAGAGATCACGAATCCAAATCTCTACTCTGATATTAGCAAATTTACCTGGAATAAAGCTTTGCCTTTCCCTGGAAACTCTTGAGTAATGTCTTCTTTCCATGCCAAGAAGGCTTCTTCTTCAATGATCTCCATGTCATAGAAATGAACAAAGAAGCGCAGTAACATGCCTATGGAAGTAAATTAAACCTTTCTTAGCTTTCATCACCTTCTGACCAGATGCAGTGACAAGCCTGAAAGCTTGTCTGAAAGCTATACACAGATTCAAGTTCAGTTCTGGCAAGATCTTGATGCACCCACCTTTTGGAAAATTATTGTTGTAGCAGTGCACCTGGAGTGCATATAAAGCACTCACTTGCAGATCAACATGGTCATGGAGGAACTTCTGCATTACTGGCTTGAAGGAAAGAAGCAGCTGTTTTTCCTGCTCTAGCTGCTCTTTAGATGGAGCAGATGAAGAATCCGATTCGTCACTGGGTGGGTTTACTTCACTAGAAATATACTGCAAGAAACTGGACAAAGGAAAGCGAAGCTCAGTTCCGTAGACTGAGAAATCCAGCACCTTAGATTACAAGTTCAGCTGGCTATTACTACAAATAGCCTCCTGCTTACACCAGTAGTCAGGTGCACGCACAGGGATTTGTGTTGCGGCTGACAGCACACCACAAAAATCCTTGTTCTGCCTCTATTATGGCTCTACGAACACACAGGTCTAGACTTCTTCCCAAAGAAAACACCTCCCACGATGCAGGCTCAGAGACTTGCTCTCCTCCTCAAATACAATGGGATTTTAAAAGAGGAGGTTCACTTAGAACCATCTGTCTCCCTGTGTACTGCACACAGTGCTACATGTCAGGCTTTACAGTTACTGACCTGTCAGCAGCTTTACCAAACAGGTGTCTAAACTACAGCGAAACAACATCTTACCTGGTCATCAATATATTCACAAATCCCTTATCTACATGAAGTTTGGGTGAAATGTTATCTTTAATCCACTTGTAGATGGCTTGAGGGGATGGATCTGATTTTATTTGCTTTAGCAGTTCCTTCTCCAGTTTCAGAAGCGGGAACAAGAAGCTAAGCCCCTTCCCTTCCAAGATCTCCAGCATGCGGTCCTTGTTCTGGTCGATTTCTGACAAGTAAAACACACAGGTTAAGTGCTTGTGTTGACCAAGAGCTGCAGACAATGGTTCATGGCTCCAGACATCTCTTAGCAAAACACCACTCCCAACAATGAGGACAGGTGACTCCACCAAGATAACCTCGTATTTTATTTTACTCTGGCATAAACTAGAGGGAAAACATCTCGCATGCACTAGGATGGGGTGTCAGAAGAGCTACGTGGCAACTCTTACCTGGTAACATTTTCTGCATATTCACTTTGCTTTGTTGGAACAATTCTGTTAGCCATTCACGGTCTTGTAACTTAGCTAACTGCTGAAGACAGAGCAGGAAGAGAGGGAAATGGGTGCCACTTTCCAGTGGTTGAGCCAGTTCGGAAATGCTCACCAGGTCTGAAATAATGGCACGGGCTGCAAACTGTGCTAAGTAGGATTTCACCAATGGGATGTCCACCTCCAGTTTGGGGCACTGGTCCAATACATTCAGGAATGCCTATAAAAGAGTACACACACAAGCTGAAATTCTGAAGTAATTTTGTACCTGTGGACAGTAATTAATACCTGTACTACATAGGAGCCTCAAGTTTCTTTTCTGCGTTCAACCACTTGCAAAGAGGTTCCCAGTTTCTGGTTCCCCAAATATTTCTTCCTTATGTCACTTCATTTGCCCCTCACAGGATTAAACATTATTTTACCTCCCCAGATCAGTGTGACTTAAAAAAAAATTTGCAGGCTGACTTTACACACGCCACCCACCACGAAGGACTGCAAGACTGTAAGACCACAGTACCTGCATGAAGTTGTCACTGGTGGCTATTCCCTCCTGCTTGAGCAAGCTGATCAAGGTGCTTGCTTTCTCTTTGTCTTCATCTGATCTATCTAGGGATTGAATGATTACTTTGCTCAACATCTCAGGAATGAAGTGTTTTGGAGCTCTCATTTCTCTCACAGTATTGACAGCATCATTAGCATTTCCATTGTTCAGATACTCAGTCACCACAGCCTCCTGCAAAGGAAAAAGGCAGAATTGAGCATTCTTTGTGAAGAGCACATACAAGGCTTCAAGAATCACTATTACACACTAACTTACAGTTTGTTTAAGGAGCTCTTCTTTAGAAGGAGGTGGTTTCTTGGTGGTCTTTGCAGGCTTCTCTTGTATAAGTGGTGGATTTGTTTTAAGACCAAGTTGAGGCGGCTGAAAAAAAGATACCACAATTTGGTTCTTTGCAGCACATCTACCCATGCTTATATCAAGCTGAACAACATCTAACACAAACGAAGGCAAATGGGAGTCAAATCATTTTGTTTTCATACATTCTCTCTGTATGTCCTGCTCTTTGCAATCAAAAGCTTCTCCCTTCCCACATTAGAAATTAAGTTTTGCAAGCATGAAGAGGTAAGTACAGCCAACAACATACACTGATTTATATATTTACCTGTCCCAAAGGTGGTGTCTGAGTGCGTGGTGGTTGAGCACTGGGAGGAATCATAGTTATCTGGGGCTGAAGCTTTGGCACTTGGTTTTTATTCATTAGAAAAGACTGAGCAGGTCTCAGGCTAATCTGTAAACAGATAAGTCAGAAAAAACTCAAACTGTTTCAAGTATTCTGACCAACAAAACACAGCCATGGACTCACACCAAGTGATCTCACTGAAGCATGACTTCATTTCTACAGTGTTAATACTTGAATACAGATTAAGCCACATGTGTCCTGAAATTCCCCCAAAAGCAAGTTACTGGTACTTAGTTTTACTGGTATCAAGAACTGGAAATGCTCCTTTTAGATGCAGTATGTTAGAGACCCAAGAAGATAATCAGCATGTTTGCTGATGTATTTTACAGCCAAGATAATAGTCCGCCAATTGCTCAGAAGTCGGGATACAAGTCTGGTTAACACTCAAAATCACAATGCAGTTTTACTTTGCATTTGAAATTTTGCCTATTAACCAGTTCTAAACAAAACAAAAAAATATATTTAGCCTGGTCCAGCACTTCAGGGTTTGTGAAGTTCAGGATTTTCTGAACTTTTAATTAAATGTATTGTTATGACTACGATGCATGGGAACTGATGTCAGAGTAGTGTTCTTGAAAGTGTGGGGGAAGGAAGGGACACCCCAAAAAATTGCCCTCATATCTCAGTCTTGCTCATAGGACGCTGGATACCCTAAGGAAAGTGAGGGGGGTAAGGTGAAAGAGGAAGGGACAAAGGAGGAGGAGGAGGAGAAGAAGAAAGAGTTCCAGCATTAGTCCTCATAATAACGCGTCTTGCTATAATCATTGGGCAATATTTAGAATAGGCTTTAAGTAATGTAGGCATGTCATGTACCTCATCTGCATTAAGCTGTCCTTTCTTAGAAAACCGAGGTGGCATATCCTTCGACTGTCCTTGTTGCTGGGATAAGAGTCCCTGATTCTGGGTATGGTAGAGCTGGCTTTGCCCCTATTTCAGAAAGGGAGATATAGAGAAAGAAGTGCAGATGATGGAGTGGCGTACATCATATGGTAAGTAGTACCAGAGGGACCAGAGAACAAAGATTCTATTTGCCAGGAAGGGAGAAAGAAGGAGCAGGGGTGGTGGGAGAGTAGCAACTATCCCTAAAAACAGGGCTATCTTTTAAATAAAACACACCATTCTGACCCACCAAAGCCACATGCACCTTTTCTTGCAGTTAAAAAAAAAACACACCCAACAAAAAAGTGTATTCCTTTCATCTTCTGCACAATTTAAAAAGTCGTTTAGAATTTTTGTATCAGCTGAGCATCAGTTCTTATGAGAATCAAATCTGAGTAAGTCTTTTAACATTAGCAGACTATAATCCATAACATACGCATCTGAGGAAGAGCTCCTAAACAAGCTGAAGTCACTGTGTGAATATCTTCCTTACCTGACTTTTCAGAAAAGATTTGCCTAGGTCTCCAAACTGGGATTGAGCAGAAGGCATGAGGTGACCCCCATGGCCATTGAAAAGTTGGTTTGTACGATGGCGTCCCATGGTGGGTGAAAATCTATCCTGAATAACCCCTGGACCAGTACCAATTCCGCTACCTGGACGAGACCAACGACAGCTTTAGTTCTTGTTCAGTACAGCACAGCCACAGCCACCCCCACCACGTTTGCAGTTCCAGCCTACCTGGCATTTGTCCAAACATATCAGCAAGCCCTCCGAGTGGGTCCCTGTCAAGTTTCATCCTGGGTGGCATAAAGGGTCCCTCCAGAAAGAAGTCGCTTCTCATCCCTTGAGACATAGGAGCAGGAATAAAAACTCCCAGATCCTTTAAAACAGGAATTGTAAATTTTTATTAGTATGGACTCACAGCCCCTCAAAAAGTAAAGTTTTTAGCCCTCAACTACAGAAATACATCTGATTAATTTAACCCTTAAGCCGACTGTCACACTCTATGAGAACTACTCACAAGTGCAGTGTAGGTTTTGGGACACAGAGCAAAGCCAAGAACAAGACCTCACGTGCAACACTTACTTTTACTGCATCTTGACGGATTTGATTGATAGTCTTTGGTCCATTGTCAAGAAAAGCTTTGCGAGGAACCCAGTTGTGTTCTCTCAACTCCACAGTATCCTTGGAACATAAAAGATTATAAGGAAGTGATTCAAGACAACTTCACAAGAAAAAAGCAGCAGTACAATCCATTTTATCATCGTACCTGCAGCAGGAAACGAATCCTTGCTGGCAATTCCTTACTTGACATCAAGGAGCGCATACGGGCAAAGTACTGATCCATTAAGGACTGGGGGAACAAAATTACAAGTTGGAGTAATTCTGTCAGTGTCTTGAGTGTTTTCATTCAAGACACCCAAGATCAAATAATAGAAAAGGCTGCCCTTTCCTGCCATCTCTATCTCCTTGATGGCAGTCCAGTTTAAAGCAAGCTAATGCATCAGGACATCTGAGTCAGAGATAAATAACACAGCCCAAGTTCTCATCACTCTGACATCATTTCAAGTTTACATTCTGAACTCATCTGTCAAATCAGCTGTGTTCAGAATAGTTCATGACATCATTTCAAGCAGCGTTTAGAGAAACAACAGTCTCGCATTTCTGACTTCCTGATGGCCCTAACTACATCCTAGGAAGACGTTAAAAACCATTCCAAAGATTAACTCCTTTTGCTATGACCTGATGCAGGAGCCACAGCTGGCACTCCTCTCTGAAAGTCAAACCTTAGTTCTGTACTTATGAATACTGTATACAGAAGGTTCAGCCAATCAAAGTCCTGGCCACATAATTTAATTAGGTGAGTGACTGCAAGGGATAGGCACATACCTTGGCTTTCGCATGATCTAATCTAGGCCCCACTGTCCTCATTATCTGACAGAGGCACTCCAAATCCTCCCCCATATCTTTGAGTTGGACTCTCTTCTTCTTTTCCAAAAGCTGAAAGGGGAATTAGGCATTTGGACATATTAACAATTCATAAGCAACAAACTTATTATACTGGCACACACAGAAACATTTTATCTTGTTCTAAAGGCAAATGCACTTGACAAGAAGTTTAAGAACTGCTAATTCAAGTACTTATTACTCCTAAGTGTGCATACTTTTAAGTACCTGTGGTATTTCTCTCTGGGCCAAACTACATCTTCTCTTGGAGACAATTCCCACGGCTTTGAACAAAGCCAATTTTACCTCTTAACCACGCCAAAAGACTGATCATTTTAAACAGTGAGGGGAAGGTGATTGTCAGGAAATATTTACATGTTATTTTATGCTTCAACATTCTCAAAGCAGCATAACAAGTTTTTTAAAGTCCTATTTTGCTCCTGGCCCTGCCCCAATCTGGATACTCACTGTTTTGATGCACTTATGAAGGATAGATTCATGAATAAGATCAAGCTTGCCAAGTTCTCCAATGAATTTGATGTTCCCCAGCATCTTGATCTTGGCAATGGCTCTCTGTTCCTCCTCCTCGGGGAGGAGGGGACCATCATGCTTATCATAGACTGGAAAACAAAGAAGCCTGTTTAGCGTGGTTGTGGGAAAAGAAGACAAATGCTGTATATTAAAGTGGTTTTAAAACTTACTATCAACATTTCTGGTTCGGTTTTCAAATTCATCTTGAAGTTTAGATATTAGGAGGCGTCTGAATGTCTAAAAAAAAAGAGAACAAAGAAAACAATTAAGCTAATCTGTGCAACTGCACATCCTAGCCAAAGTTATCATTCCAGATTGACAGATACACTCACTGTGCTTTGCTTCTGTCCTGGATGACTCTCTGCTGATGGGCCATCAAAGTTGGGTGCATCTTCTGCCAGTCGCAGACATAGTTGAGCGTACAGCGAGCTATACTTGGGCTCTTCAAGGGCTTTGTCTACGATCTGAACAGATGGATTTGCAGTAAGGCAGCATGTAGGAGGATGCAAATGTTATTAGGAAAGCGAGATGGAAGACAGAAGGCATTACTACCACTCTGATCCAGAACTATTTTTTACTAAATCAAACACAGAAATAATGTAGTTTAACGTTAGTCTGAAGGGAAAAAGCTCTTCTGTGCTATTCAAGAGCCTCTATAATCCTTGGCCAACAAAACTCATCATCACAACACCTATGTTAGCATTGCCAATCTGATCTCAGAATAAACAAAGTGACGTAACAGCTACATCAGTGTCCCAAAAAGCCACCTGCAGTAGCCTTTCCAAGACCAAAAGGCCTGCTCCTCAGGAAAACAGGAAGGGCAGGGGCAGTGAAGGGGCACAGAAACATGACTGCTAACTAGCATCTTACAGTTTTAAAAAGCCTGTCATAGAATCCCCAATCACATCTAGTGATTCTTGAAACTTCTAAACAAGTTAAAGCATTAAACCTACTTCCTCCTTAGTATACCCTTCTCACACAGAAAGCAGGTGTGAGGTGGTGTTTGATAATCCAAATACGCAAACGCATTAGACATACTACTTCTGTATCCCACCAAAACCAACCAGCCTTCTGATTTTTAACATGCAAGAAAACTGTAGTTTAAAGAAATGCAGCCATCTTACCAGCAGTATGACCCCTTTTAGGATGAGCTTAGATTCTACACCCACATTGAGGAGCTCAAGGCATAGCTTGTCAAACTTTTCAGGAGTAAGCTTATTTAGTATGCTAAAGAGGAACAAACAAAAACAAGAATACAGATATTGTAAGCATGCTACAGGTCATTTCAGAGTCACATTTATCTTTACTTTTTAAGCCTATTAAAAATAAAGAAGTGTAATTTTCCTTTCAACTATGTTTTGGAAGGTCTTCAGATAATGTACTTTTGAAAATTCCAGTCCTCTAAAGGGTTCAAGTGCTTGCTGCTGCTAGATCATCAATTTGTCTTCTCTAAAGGACTCACCACCCCCAAACTCAACCCACGTGTGTTCTTTTCCTCCAGCCCATTTATTAGATACACATTGCTAACGAATGCAGTAAGAAGTAAGTAATCCTGTGAAGAACTTACCCTCTTACTTTCCTGAAGATTGCATCATGTCGTTCTTTGTCGTTTGCGGAGTCGTCATCTCGTCTAGTGCTTCGTGAAGGAATCCATTTCTGAGCGTTTTGCCCTGGGTTTTTCCCCAGGAACTCGCTGCAGAATTTTGAAGAATGGGATTGTTAAACAAATGACTTAAAAGAACTGGCTTTTTAACCTTTCAGTATTGCCTTACTCAGACCAAGTCTGTTGCTTGCTTTGTTAGCACGCACTTGCCCCTGCCAACACAGCAGCATCTGCTGCACAGCAAAGTACTCACTCAACAATAATAAAACCCCACATCCCAAAGGAAACCCTCTAAACTTTTTAAGTAAAAGGCATGAGCAAGCAAGTTTGTGCACCTCCTATTACCCAGGATGCACACTCTTAACAGACACAGACTGCAGAACATTATAAGGTTATCAACTCAGTAGGTGTCCCTCTTGCAACTTTAAAGCTGCACTATTTTCAGTTCTGTATTCACCATCAAGCATGCTCTGCCTTCAAATCATGCCAAATTAGAGACCAAGATGACATACCTGTTGCTGGCAGTCTTGGGATAGTGCTGAGGTGCACCCCTACCACCTCCTCCGCCTGAAGAAGCACTGTTAAAAAACCAACGTAATCCTTGGTAAGTTCAAAAACTCAACGCTTTCAATTACATCTCAGTTTTGGTATAAACATCATAAGAATTTGAATTCTCAAAGGACAGTTTTCACTGCCAACTGTTCATCAAACAAAAGGCATTAGTACCTGAAACGAGAAGCACCCCCTTCTGCAATCGCACTCTCCACTTTGGCGGCTTGACAACGAAGAATCTTCAAAAGAATAAAATTAA